GCTCACATACCAACTTCCTGAAGATCCATATCTACATTTCCTGTGTCTAGCCAGATTTCCTCCAAGGCATGGAGGTGGCCATTGGCATGTCCGGTGAATAGCACTCGACCAAGGCTTGTTTAATGAAATTGAATTGCCAGCTCCCCCTTCAAAAATGAGTCTGAAGTCTTGGAGGCGGACTCAACCTCCTCACGGCTCGGTGATACTCCAACCACTGCTCAACCCAGTAGAAGGAGGGGAACAGGGAGAAGTGGCAAAGGGGGAGCACACACAGCTCTGCAAACACCATGAAAGAAGAGAACCCAGACTGTGCGGGTGGTGCCAGCTCACCACACAAGAATGTCATGGCAGGTGCCCAGCCTCACTGTACCAGACCCTGAGAAAGTTGAGACTCAAGACCTGGGTAACTAGAGACAGACTGGATGTGGAACATGTGGCGCTGCCTGCCCTCCAGAAAAATGGGCTCCAGGGAAAATCAAATCTCCTCCATTCAGCCTCCCACACACAGGAAATCAGGCCACTGGGCAGTCAAACCTGAAAATGTTTGTGCATCTCAGTCCGGCCAAGGATGCTACAGAAAAATCCATCAGCAGGACCAACTGACGGGCAGAAACGGAACAAGAGCCAGCTAAGCACACAGAGTTAAAGCACAGACAAGGGGTTTGACTTCCTGGGTTCAAATTCCAACTCTCCCGACCCCGCATGTAAACATGGGCAAAGTTCTTAAACTTCCTGTGGCTCATTTCCTTCTCGTAAGATGGTAAGAGTAGAACCTGCTGGTGGGGTTGTTTTGAGACTACAGGAGTTAAGGTCTGTCAAGCCCTCAGGACAAGCCCTAGCTCATACTAAGTGCTGTCTGCTTGTTGTTGTTGTTAGGTGCCCTTTCGTTGGCTCTGACTCATAATGACCCTACGTACAACAGAGAGAAACACTGCCTAGTCCTGAGCCAGCCTCACAATCCTTGCCACACCTGAGCCCATTGTTGCACCCACTGTGTAAGTCCATTGCGTTGAAAGCCTTCCCATTTTTCATTGACCCTCCAATTTACCAAGATGACCAAAGTAGGTGAGATGAAGTCTGGCCATTCTTGCTTCCAAGGAGCAGTCTAGCTGTACTTCGTCCAGGACAGACTTGTTCTTTCTTCTGGCAGTCCATGGGACTTTCAGTGTTTTTTGTCAACACCACAACTCAAAAGCTCCAACTCTTCTTTGTTCTTCCTTATTCACTGTCCAGCTTTCACATGCATATGAGGCTATTGAAAATACCATGGCTTGGGTTAGGCACACCTTAGTCTTCAAGGAGACATCTTTCCTCTTCAGCACTTTAGAGAGGTCTTTTGTAGATGATTTTCCCAGTGTAATATGTTGTCTGATTTCCTAACTACTGCTTCCATTGGAGGAGCTCTGGTAGCATAGTGCCTAAGTCACTTGACTGCTAACCAGAAGGCTGGTGGTTCAAATCCACCAGCCACTCCTCAGAAGGAAGGTTGGGCAATCTACTTCTGTAGTGATACTGCCTTGGAAACCCAAGGAGGGGTCACTATGAGTTGGGTCTGACTTGATGGCACGTAACAACAACAACATACCAAAAAAGAGGGGGCTCTGGTAGCATAGTGCCTAAGTCACTTGACTGCTAACCAGAAGGCTGGCAGTTCAAACCCACCAGCCACTCCTCAGAAGAAGATGGGGCAATCTACTTCTGTAGTGATACTGCCTTGGAAACCCAAGGAGGGGTCACTATGAGTCAGGTCCAATTCGATGGCACATAACAACACAACATACCAAAAAGAACTGGTCAATGTTTATCTATTTCAGGAGGTGGCATGTGATCCACCTTTTTTTGGAATAGGTACAAGTATGGATCTCTTCCAGTCAGTTGGCCAGGTAGCTGTCTTCCAAATTTCTTGGCATAGATGAGTAAGTGCCTCCAGTGCAGTATCCATTTGTTGAAACAGCTCAATGGGTTTTCCATCAATTTCTGGAGCCTTGTTTTTCACCAAATCCTTCAGTGCAGCTTCGACTTCTTTCTTCAGTACCATTGGTTCTTCATCACATGCCAACTGTAGTCTTTAATTTTCATCAGTAAGTGCTTCAAGTCATCTTCACTTTTAGCAAGCAAGGCTGTGTTGTCTACATATCGCAGGTTGTTAATGAGTCTTCCTTGAATCCTGATGCTGCATTCTTCTTCATATAGTCCAGCTTCTTGCATTACTTGCTCAGCATGCAAATTGAATATGTATGGAGAAAGGATACAACCCTGATGCACTTCTTTCCTGATTTTAAACCATGCAGTATCCCCTTGTTCTATTCAAACAGCAGCCTCCTGGTCTATGTACAGGTTCCTCCTGAGCACAATTAAGTATTCTGGAATTCCCATTCTTCTCAATGTTATCCATAATTTGTTATGATCCACACTGCTAAATGCTTTTGCATAGTCAATAAAACACTGGTATCCTTTGCTTTCAGCCAAGATCCATCTGACATCAGCAATGATATACCTTGTTCCACATCCTCTTCTGAAACCAGCTTGTATGTCTGGAAGTTCCCTGTCGATATACTGCTGTAACCATTTTTGAATTCTCTTCAGTATGATTTTACTTATGTGTGATATTAATTATATTGTTCAACAATTTCCACATTCTGTGGGATCACCGTTTTTTGGAATAGGTACAAGTATGGATCTCTTCCAGTCAGTTGGCCAGGTAGCTGTCTTCCAAATTTCTTGGCATAGATGTGTAAGTACCTCCAGCACAGCATACATTTGTTGAAACAGCTCAATGGGTTTTCTGTCAATTCCTGGAGCCTTGTTTTCACCAAATCCTTCAGTGCAGCTTCGACTTCTTTCGTCAATACCATTGGTTCTTGATCACATGCCACCTCCTGAAATAGATGAACATTGACCAGTTCTTTTTGGTATAGTGACTGTGTATTCCTTCCTCTGAAGTTTCCTGCATCATTCAATAATTTGCCTATAGAATCTTTCAAAATTATAACTTGAGGCTTGAATTTTTCCTTCAGTTCTTTCAGCTTGAGAAATATTGAGTGTGTTCTTCCCTTTTGGTTCTCGATCTCCAGGTCTTTGCATGTTTCACTATGATAACTGACTTTGTCTTCTCGAGCTGCTCATTGAAATCTTCTGTTCAGCTTTTTTTCTTGTCATTTCTTCCCTTTGCTTTAGCTATTCTCCATTCAAGAGCAAGTTACACTCTCTTCTGACATCTATTTTGGTCTTTTCCTCCTTTCCCGTCTTTTTAATGACCTTTTGCTTCCGTTGTAGATGATGTTCTTGATGCCATCCCATAATTCCTCTGGTTTTCAGTCACTGGTGTTCAATATATCAAATGTATTCTTCAGATAGTCTCTAAATTCAGGTGGGATATAATCAAGATCATATTTTGGCTCTCATGGACTTGTTTTAATTGTCTTCAGCTTCAACCTGAACTTGAGTATGAGTAGTTGATGATCTGTTCCACAGTCAGCTCCTGGCTTTGTTTTGGCTGAAGATATGGAGCTTCTCCATCACTTCTTTCCACAGGTGTAGCCACTCTGATTCCTGTGTACTCCGTCTTGTGAAGTCCACAAGTATAGCTGCTATTTGTGATGCTGAAAAAAGGTATTTGCAATGAATAAGTCATTGGTCTTGTAAAATTCTATCATGTGATCTCTGACATCATTTCTATCACCAAGGCCAAATTTTCTAACTGCTGATGATTCTTCTTTGTTTCTGACTTTTGCATTCCACTCACCAGTGATAATCAACACATCTTGATTGCATGTTTGGTCAACTTCAGACTGCAGAAGTTGATAAAAATCTTCAATTTCCTCATCTGTGGCTTTGGTGGTTGGTGCTAAATTTGAATAATAGTAGTATTAACTAGTCTTCCTTGTAGCCATATGGATATTATCCTATCACTGACAGCACTATACTTGAGGATAGATCTTGAAACATTTTTTGTGACAATGAATGCCACACCATTTCTCTTCAATTTTTCATTCCAGGCATAGCAGATCATATGGTTGTCTGATTCAAAATGGCCCAAACCAGTCCATTTCAGCTCACTAATGCCTAGAATATCCATCTTTATGCATTCCATTTCTGGACAGCTGTCAATTTTCCTAGATTCATACTTCATACATTCCATGTTTTGACTATTAATGAATGTTTGCAGCTGTTTCTTCCCATTTTGAGTCACGGCACATCAGCAGATGGAGGTACTGAAAGCTTTACTCCATCCACATTATTAAGGTCGACTCTACTTGGAGGAGGCAGCTCTTCCCCAGTTGTATTCTGAGTGCCTTCTGGCCTGAGGCACTCATCTTCCAGTAGTATATCAATGTTTCAGGGCTATTCATAAGTTTCTAGTAATATATCAGATAGTGTTTCACTGTTATTCATAAGGTTTTCACTACCCAATTCTTTGAGAAGTAGATGGCCCCTGCCTTCTTCCAAGTCTGTCTTAGTCTGGAAGCTCCACTGAAACCAGTCCACCAGGGTGACCCTGCTGGGATTTGAAAAACCAGTGGCATAGCCTCCAGCCTCAGAGCAACATGCAAGCACCACAGCACGACAAACTGACAGATGAGTGGTAGGCTGTTTGTGTGGTGACCATCAAATGCATTCAGCATCATGGTCTAGCTTTAACTGCAGAAGAGAGAGCTCAGTCTCATGGGTGCCTTCTCTTTCAAATAGCCATCCATGAGGTTGGGTCCTGGAGTTCAAAGGCTTGAGCATGTTTTTATTTAATTTCAACCCAAATGAAAATACCATCATTATCTTTCAGCTGAAGACGAGTTATGTCTTCACATACTTCATTTTCTAGGAAAGGACAAAGGTCAAGGGCAAAGATATGGTTGGACCATGAACTCTGAGAACAAGGGGATTTAGAGTTGGCAGAGCTTTCAGCTCAAACCAACAGACTGTGTTGATGGCTTTGGTTTTTAGATGTAGCATTCCTCACTCTGGGAGCTCTGGTCGTGTAGTGCCTAAGGCATTTCACTCCTTACCAGAAGGCTGGCGGTTCAAACCCACCAGCCACTCCTTGGAATGAAGGTTGGGCAATCTGCTTCCACAGTGATACTGCCTCGGAAACCCAAGGAGGGGTCACTATGAGTCAGATCCTACTTGACAGCAGTGAGTTTGGTTTTATTTTGGTTCCTCACTCTGTTGTGTGTGGTCAATGGGCTGTTCTACCTTCTTGGGAACCAAAGGCCAAAGCTCACCAGAGGTGGATGAAGGAAGGGCTTTAGAGCTTCAGTCCAGGGAAAACTGAAGTTTCAGAAGAACTACTCTCGACAAAGTCTTTCTTATATGTCAGGTACTGAGGGCAGCCATTAACAGAAACACCATAGCTGGGTGGTCCATAAACGTACCATCTCATTGTTTTGGAGGCTAGAGGTTTCGAGAGCTGTGCTCTCTCTGGCCCACCCTAGAGGAGGAAGATCCTTCCTCCTACACAGGATTCATCTTCTGTAGTCCTGGACATAACTTGGTGCTCCTTGCTTGTAGATGGATCCTTACATGGTGTCTGTCTTCCCCGTGTATGTGTCTCTGTGTCCATCCTTCTCTTTCTATGAGACACCACTCAGAAGTGGTTGGGTTTATGACCCACCCTACTGTGGCATGACCTCATTAACATAATAAAGAAAACTCCTATTTCATATTTCAAGCACAGGGTTAGAATGTTCACATTTCTTTTCCAGGGGGCACCATTCAACACATAAATTATGTATCAGGCACTGTTCTAGATGCTTTACAGACACTATCTCAATGGATCCTTCCACCAACCCTTCATGGCAGGCATTCTAGTTCCCATTTTAGATAAGAAAAGCAAGACTCAGACAAATAAACTCACTTGTCTCTGCCCACAGCAAGAAAGGAGTGAAGGCAAGGTTTGAACCCAGGACTCTCTTAGCCAGTTATTCCACCACACGGTGCAGCTGGGCCAAACATGCTGCCAGTAGTGCATCAGTCATAGGACAGCCGACCAGATGGCCACCTCCCTAGTAAGGCCAAGAGCCCCTGAAGATATGGACTAAGTCTTCTTCATCTCTCACAGTGCCTGGCCTTGATCAACTTTAGTCAAAAACTTGGACCCCTCTGTTCTTAGGCTCACCATACACTGCCCCCACTTCCTGAGCTCTGGGCCCAGGGGAAAGGTCCCTGCAGAAAGCATAATAGGCAATGCTGTCACCTGTGAGAACAATGCTGCTCTCACCTGGGGAATGCCCTCACCTGGGGAATGCCATACTGGTCGATGACCTGCCAGATATACCAATCTTCTTTCCGAGATGTTTTCCGGAACCGGAAGGTTGTGACAAAGGCGTACTCATCAGGCAAACCTTGTGGGAACACATCCCTGGAAGAAAACCCAGACAGACAACACCAGCTTTAGTGAGCAGAGCAGGGAGCTGGCGGAGGAAGTCTGCACATCCCATCAGGCACCAACCCAAACCAAACTCACTGCTGTCAGGTTGACTCCAACTCACAGTAACCCTGCCCTGCAATCTCAGCTCCTAATATTTCTAAACTCCCCCTTCACCTGCCCTTCACCATCTCTTCCTTAGACCAGGGCCTCAATAAGACCCTTTGCAGACCATTTCTGCACCCGCCCTCAGCACCCATCCATCTGCCTCTGTAGCTAGCAGACGGATCACTCCAAACCATGCTGCTTCTGCTCCCATCGCTCTACCACCCTGGTTCCTGACAAAATTAATGTGGAATGTGCGATTCCACCCTGCAGGTCAAGTCTGAGCCCTCCACCGGGCCCACAAGGCCCTCTGTTCTGGGGTCTGAGGCTCCCAGCAGTCACTTCTCCTTGTTCCACTCCTTCCCAGCATGGCCACATGGCCACATAGCTCACCCTGCTTGGTCCCTTGTCTCCTTCCCCAAGGCATCCTCCATTTTGCACAAAGCCCTGGGCTCCTGCTGAGTTTATGGATCTAGGCCCTCACCTGGGTGTTTCCTCGACTCCCTGCCACTCCACCCAGACAGGTCTGGACATGCCCTTGTCCTTTTGAATTCAGGAATGAAATCTGTGCCTTCCTATCCAGGATGGAGTCCCGGGATGGTGCAAACAGTTAAGCGCTCAGCTAATAACTAAAAGGTTGGTGGTTCAAGCCCACCCCAAAGCACCTTGGAAGCAGAGCCTGGCCACCTGCTTCTGAAGAAGCACAGCCATTGAAAGCCTGGGGAGCACAGGTCTCCTCGGACACATGTGGACTCGCCATGACTCAGTCAACTTAGCAACGGGTTTGGTTTTTCTGGTACAGGGGACCAATTCCTCCTAAGGACCCAGGGTCATATCCCTGTCTACCTCCTCAGATTGCTGCCTGACCTGCTGCCTCGTCCTCACCTGAACTGCAAAGAGCCATCTGAACCTCACATCACTGTTAACCAACCAGTTGCTGTCCAGGCAACAGCAACTCATGACAACCTCACGTGTGTCACAGCAGGTCTGTGCTCTTCAGTGGCTGAATTGGGGAAGAACATTGCCAGGCCTTTCTTCCAAGATGCTTCTGTGTGGACTCAAACCTCCAACTTTTCACTTAGTACTCTAACCAGCTGCAGCACCCAGAGTCCTCAGTACTACCACCACCCGCTCCAGAAAACCCTCCATAAATTTGTGTACTTTCTCTACCTTCTCTCCTTTTTTCATTGCAAGAACTTAGGAAGAAGCAGTTCTTACCTCATGGTATAAATGAGGGCATCCCAACTCTGAGGGTGAACTGGATGCCATACAGTTGGTGAGGGGCTGAGGGGAGGTTCTCGACAGGGGATCCCCAAGCTCTGCTCTTCCCCGCCAGTGGATGGCACCTTGCCCTGCCTAGCCCGACCGTGGAGGAGCTGAGCTCTGTCTCATTGGGGGTGTAGGGGGCTACCTCGGGAAATGGACATGGCCCTCACCTCTCCATTGGGCGAGGTGGAATCTGTCTAGCCAGACAGCCAGGAAGGGAAGTGGGAGGCAGCTGTGTTCCAGGTTCTCAGAATCACAGATTCTTGGGGACCCATTTTCTCTGGCTGCAGAACCTATGAGCAAAGCTGGGTCCTGGCTGATTTAGTTTACAACCCATTCTGGGAGCAGGTTCAGTGGCTCAAAGTCTGCCTCTGAGCTGGACCTCACCCAGGATCTCATTCAGACACCAGCAACTCTAGTGGGCAAAACCTAGAGATGACGTGGGGTGGTGCTATGCCTACACTCTAGTGGCAGAATGGCTACGGCATTCAGCTGCTCATGGAAAGATTGGTAGCACAAACCCAGTGGCCACTCCATGGAAGAAAGATGAGGGGGTCTGCTTTTGTAAAGACTAACAGCCTTGGAAGCCCTATAGGGGAGTTCTACTCTGTCCTCTAGGGGCGCTGTGAGTTAGAATTGACTCAACAGCAATGGAGTCAGTTTGGGCTTTGCTTCTGTGAAGATAGGAGCTCTGGGGGTGTAGTGCCTAAAGCATTTGACTGCTAACCAGAAGGCTGGCGGTTCAAACCCACCAGCCACTCCTCAGAAGGAAAATTGGGCAATCTACTTCTGTAGTGATACTGCCTTGGAAACCCAAGGAGGGGTTGCTATGAGTCAGATCCGACTTGACAGCAGTGGATTTCCATGAAGATTGACAGCCTTGGAAACCCTATGGGGCAGTTTCACTCTGTCCTCTAGGGGCACTGTGAGTCAGAATCGACACAATGGCATCGGGTTTGGTTTGTGTTTTACTCCTGCCATGTTCTGCAGTGACTGGTCCACTGGTGGTGCTATGTACCACAAATGCTCATTGTTACTGAATTAACAGACAAATGCACGCATGCATGAGTGACTACTGCTGAATTCCAGTGGAGGGATAAGTGTGGTAGGACCTAACCTAAACCACACCAGCTGCCATCGAGTCAATTCTGACTCATGGTGGCTGCTCATGTTCATTGGCTATGATCACCAGACCTTTCTTCTGCAGCCCCACTGGCTAGATTCGAACTTCCAACCTTGGTGAGTAGTTAAGCCCAAACCGTCTGCACTACCCAGGCACCTGTAGTAGTTCCAGGGACCCAAGAGAGTCAATCATAACAGATCAGATAAGAAACCTACATACGTTCCCTCCTTTCTTCCTTGTAGGAACTCAGGAAGGGGCCATCTTACCCTGGTGCTACACGTGAGGGGCCCCAGCTCTCAGGGCGAGCTCGCAGGCATTCTCTTCTGCAGCCACAGTTTTGTGATTCATTTGGACTTTGTTTGGGTCGTACTTTGGCAGCTTTCACATTTCGTGATTTTACTGAGAGAAGCAAGCTGTTCTCACGATCCTGCTCTCATCAAACGCCCAAGTCAGCCATTCAGCTGCTACATCTGGGACACCCTTCCCAGGCACCAGGGAGAAGCCCTACTCGGTGCTCGTGAGCAGCTGTGGCCAACTGGCCTCTTGCCTGTCCTTTGTCAGGGTGTCCAGGGCAGGGCTAGAAGGAGTCGTGGCCACTCACTCAGTCCTCTGCACCACGGGGAAGGATCCCATCCGAACATAGGAGCTCTGGGCGCCATTCTCTCTCCTCCCCAAGATCTCCTTCACGCTGAACAAATCCATCAGGTCAAAACCTGTCCAAAGAGAAGAGCCAGGGGTGAGTTTGGTGCAGGAGAGCAAGGTGAAAACATCTGCTCTGTGCAAAGTGGTCCTGGCCCAGGGAGAACGGATGTGGACTCCGGCAGAGGGCGTCTGTGCAAAGACACATTTTGGGAGAACAAAATAAACAGCCAGCCGTGAGCCAGGCACAGCTTCCACTTCGATTCCAGGAAAATGATCCAGGAAAAACACAAAGGGACCCGAGCAGCCGTGATGTTCCACAGTCAAGGAAAAGGTAAAGAAAGAGAAGGTGTCACCCCAGTGGGACTGTGGCCAGGAGCCTTGGCCCTGCCGATTCTCAGATACCTACACCTGGCTCACCTGGGTTGGCTCCCCAAGCAAAACAGCGACATAGGGCTTTCTTTCCTGCAGCCACATTGTCCCAATTCACTTGGATTTGCCTGGACTGCAGTTTGGCACACTTTACATTTCACAATTTCAAATAGAAACATCAAGGAGAAGCACCTGTTCTCGTGATAGTGCATTTCCTGAAAGGTATTGTTCTGGTTCCCTAGTGCCACTCTGACAAGAATATACCACAAATGCGATGCCGTTAACACACAGGAGTTTATTCTCTTACAGTTTGGAAGCTTTAAGTCCGAGTTGAAACTGCCAGGCTCTAGGGGCTGGGTGAAGGCCCCTCAGCCTTGGTCTTCAGCTCTGCCTCCTGCTCCCGGCCCACTGGAGCGAGAGGCATTTCTTCACTCAGACAGCTGCCGGATGCCGAGGCTGCAAGCCCAAGGTTGATAAGTGAAATGGCACAGTCCCGACGTTACCAAATCACACGGCAGACCATCAATTCAATTCCATTTTAAGTCCCAAAGTCAGCAGAGCATGGCAGGCTGCTGAACAACAACAAGGCTACATGTAGGGTCCAAGTGTGCCACAGGCTAGAGACCATTCCCAAAGCTGTTGCTTATACACGGGAAGCAGACCACATACCCAAAGGCAGCTGCTTAGCTGCTTGTGATAGAGCCCGCCACGGAGCTGACTGCCAGCCTCATCGTGGGGAATAGCGACCTCCAGCTGCCCAGCCACTCAACCAGGCCCAGCCAAGCAGACACACAAACCGAACTACCACAGGTGTTTTTGTTTGCTGGGCTTCGTTTTGCTTCCGCCCGCCCCAGGACTTCACAGGCATTAGCAGTGTAGGGTCATAGGGAGGGAGAGCTCTGGGTTCCAGAGAGAGTGGGGGGTTCCAGTCTAGCTCAGCTGCCGATTTGTATGACACTGTACTTTGTCTGTGACTACTAACCTAAAGGTTGGTGGGGTTCCAACCCACCCACAGTGCTGGGTAAGAGCTGTCTGGCAATCTCCATCCATAAAGGTTCCAGCCAAAACAAATAAACAAATCAATAACCCCACAGGGCAGTTCTACTCTGTAACAACAAAGGGCTCCATAGGAGTTGGAATCAATTCCACAGCCGTGAGTTTTCTTTTTTGGGGAGGGCAAGCAACATAACCCCATGAGCCTGGGGATCTTGATCTTAGAAGGAAGGAGATAATACTTAGGCCTCGGCTGTCAGGAGAATCACCTGGGACTCTGACTGCACATCACTTGGCATGTGGTGGGAGGCGGGTACAGATGGTTAATGCACCAAGCTGCTCATTGAAAGGTTGGGAGTTCAAGGTCACTCAGAGGTGCCTTGGAAAAAAAAAAGCCTGGCACTCTCCTTGTGACAGATCAGCTCCTGAAAGCCCTGGGGCAGGCAGTTCTACTCTGACCCACGCAGGGTTTCCAAGTCAGAATTGACTGATGATGGCTGGTTCAGCATATGGTGGAGATGAACAGGGCAGGTCTGTGCTCCACCAGCACATCCTCATCCACATTTCCCCACACATGGGCCCTTCAACAGAAGTGCCCAAACTGGTCTGGAAGACGCACTTGAGTCCCACAGAACACACCTTCTGAGGGGCATGGCCTGAAGGCAAAACTCATCCTGGAGGCGACAGTGTAACACGCTCACCTGAAACCATGTCCCTTAGGGGATGCGATGGGCACCTCAGAGGGCAGACAGCTGAGGAAGGGGACAAGCTGAGGAGTAGCACGTGGGCCTGGCACCCACTCGGGAGACCCGAGGAGGATGCTCTTGCCACCGGCCTTCTCAGGCCTGCCATGCAGAAGAGGATGGGTTCCATCATGGCGGCCAAAGCTCTCCTACCAGTAAATTCTGCCCACAGACACCATTTCTGAGTGCTGCTGTGTGCCCAGAGAGGTGAGAGGTGGCAGGCAGGAAGGCTGCGCCCTGAGGAAGAGTCCACGCATCAGTCACCCAGCTCCTGGCCCTGTGACCTTGAGACGATCACCTGACCTCTGTGGACACCTTCCTCTTTACACAGGGGGTTGTTTTAGAATGAGCCTCACACGACTGTCATGAAGCTTAAATGTGATGGCAGAAAACACGCAACTCTGTGCCTGACACTTAGTTGATCACCTGCACAATTGCTTTTCAACTTATTTTCCCATTATGATTTCAGCATCTTCATGCCCTCAATTCTGTCCAAAGGTGTCCTTTGTCCTTTCCAAAGCCAAGCACTGTGAGGGCACTGGAGATGCCATGGTGGGGAGACAAAATCCAGGCTCTGGGAACCGGAGCCTAGTTCCAAAAGAACAGCCAAGTTGCCATCAGGTAGGCTCTGAGTCCTGGCACTGCCAGGTGTGTCAGGGTAGAGCCGTGCCCTGTGGGGCCTTCAAAGGCTGACCTCTTGGAACACATGTCTAGGCCTTTCTTCCCAGGTGCCTCTGGGTAGACCCGAACCATCGACTGTTCAGTTAGCAGCCGAGCACGGCAACTATTTGTACCACCAGGGCCTCCGCCCCTAGTGGGTGGACCCTAACTGAACAGATGCACAGCGTGATTCCAGGCAAAGCTGAGGACTGTGTAGAGTAAGTGAGCAGGGCCCAGGGTTGGCAGGGGCGGCCTCGCTGGATGAGGGCTGCGACGGTCCTAGAAGGGGCTCTATGCAGGCGGAGGCGGTGCCGGGACTGAAGGCCCCGCTGGTGACTCTGCACCGGGCCCTGCCTGGTCCCTTGCCACCATGAGATTGTCTAATTCTGGAAGATGACTAAGTGTCTTCATGATGTCATTCTAAACAGCACTCCCAGCACCGCTCAGGGACTGAATGTGTGCTGCAACGTTAAGTGCTCCTGGAACTGCAGGCTGAAAGCACACGCCAGAGGCTCCGTGCAGGATGGAATGGCACACCTTCCAGCTGGGCTTTGTCACTGAACCAAACTTGTTGGAAATACACGCAGCAAAGCACACACTCCCCACAAGCACAGTGCAGTGATGCTGAGGCCGTCCTTCGAGTTGGGCAGCCACTCTCAGCCCCCTCTTCCGAGCTGATCCTCGGGCCCACTGACCCAAACTCTCTGCCCTGACAAGCCTTCTCATCCAACTTTTCGAGCTGCCGTTGTCAACAGAATCCCATACCAAACTCAAACCCACTGCCATCCGGTCGACTGGAACTCACAGTGACCCCCTTTAGGTTTCCTAGGCTGTAACCTTACAGAAGTAGACTGCCCCATCTTCCTTCCAGGGAGTGCCTGGTGGGTTTGAACTGCCAACCTTCTGGTTAGGAGTCACATGCCTTAGGCACTGTGCCACCAGAGCATCTTTGATCCCATACAGACAAATCTTAAAAGAGCACAATGTTCAAGACAGACATCCTTTACTAATTAAGATAAACTAGCATTTGGTTTAAGGAGCTCTGGTGATGTGGTGGTGAAGGCATTTGGCTGTTAACCAAAAGGTTGGTGGTTTGAATCCATCTGGAAGAAAGATGAGGCAGTCTGCTTCCATAAATTCTGGCAGCTTTGGAAACCCTGTGGGGCAGTTCTGGCAAAAAAGACTTCAGGGCATACTTCTGGTTTCAAGTTTAAAGATTATGTCAGGGCAGTGGTTTGGGGGTCCCTCCAGCCTCCATGGAAACCTTGCTTTTTCATGGACACTCAGGGAATGCTTTGCCTCCCAGAGATGCTGTGTGTCCCCCAGGCCAGGCACCACGTCCCCTCTACCGATGTCCACCATGTGGTGGGCTCAGGCAGGGTCCAGAGAGGCTGTAGCTGGACACAGGCTGGACAAGGCAGCCTCTGCTGACTCACAGCCCCTTGGGGACAGGGCCTGACCCACCATGTTCACCACCCTGACCCCAGGTGGCACCAGCATGGGCTGGCACACAGGGCACATTTGTTGAAATGGCCCCATGGCCTTTCCCTGAATGGGGATGTGCCCTTCTGCCTTTGAAGGCTCAGTGCAGAGGAGGAAGTCCTCAGACTTGGACCAGACGCTCACAGACAGGTCCTGGCTGTGCTACTTACAGACAGTGTGGCTGTGAGTGTGAGCTCATCCTGTCTGAGCCTGCTTCCTCTGTATTTCTGAGAACTGGGATAATAAGGGAGTAGGATACTAGAAGGAACAGTGGCAGCTCAGTGGCAGAGTTCTCCCCTTTCATGCAGGAGGCTGGGGTTCAATTGTGTATGCATCACCCGTCTGTTAGTGGAGGCTGGTGTTGCTATAATGGTGAATAGGTTTCAGTGGAGCTTGCAGAGTAAGATGCAGTAGGAAGAAAGGCCTGGGGATCCCCTTCTGGAAACCAGCAATGAGAATCCAGTGGATCACAACCATCCAATCCACTGCTGGGGTGGCCATGAGCCAGGGCCATGTCAACAGTAGGAGCAACAACAACACAGGCAGTGAACGCAGGGGCTCTGGCAGGAGAGATACTGGGGCTGAATCCCTGCTCCCCCTCTCCTGGGTGGGTTACCCTGCCTCCCTGAGTCTCCATTTGTTAATCTGTCAAACGGGACACGGACATGACAGTACCGGCTCTGGGAGGTGGGCAGATGAACACACAACACAGTGACAACTTCACTTGACAACGTGTGTAAGAACATGCCTGGCACGAGGTGGGTGCTCACTAAAAACCTGGTGCTTTATGCAGGCCCCTCCCCCTGCCCATCCCATAATAAGCT